GGGAAGTCCCACCTGCAGCCTCACCTCCAAATAAGGGTTACAGACACTCCATAAGGTTGGATTTGGACATGGATAATCAAGTGCTTGGGGAAAACCAGGAGTAATTAAAAAAAAAAACAAACCACCCTAGCCCTGCCTAGACTGCCACATGGAATACTCTTGGCTTATTCTCTCCCACACACCTTAATAAACAAACAGTTTAGTCCTTTAGGTTGGTGTGTTTTTTTTTTTTTTTTTTTTCCCTAAGCCATGTTTTAAGTTACACCTCTCTCCAGAAGGAAATTCTGGGCTCATTCCAAAAAAACAAGTCAAAAGGCCCTTCTTAAAGTACTAGAAAGAACAGGAAGCACTTCATAAGAACAAACCAAGCAGAACACTGCATTTGTTCTGAACTAAAATGCTGTGGAGCTGCAAAGTTACTCAGACACAGATTCCTGAGGAGCTGGAGAGAGTGAGAATTTAACAAGGTTGGTTGTTCTATCCTGCTCTGTGAGCTGGACTTTCATTTTAGAAGTTCATCAAGTTATTTTCTAGACCAAAAGTGCCTTCAAAGTGGGCCACAAATTCAGGTGGAAACACTGATTTCCCTGAGCTGGAGCAGTGAGGTGCCAGAGCTTCTCTGAGTATGCAAGTTACAGGGTAAGAGCTCGTTTCATTTTCACTGATAAAGTTTCTCATCTGAAAAACAGGAAATCTTTCTAGGCAGGTATCAGAACTGAAGTGTTTCAGATAAACAATCAGCTCCTGTTAGCAGAAGAAACACCAGAAACCCCAAAGCACAAGGTTGGCCCAGTTTGGGTTTAAGACAGAGAAAACTGGTGGTGTTTTCTCTCCAGAGGGCAGGAGCTCCAGGAGATCCCATTCAGAGATGGGATCCCAGCACCTTCTCCCTGTTTTCCACACCAGCATCCAGGAGCCACCCCAGGAATGGTGGGACTGCAGGCAGGGAAGGCTCTCCATCCAAGCCCTGGCAGCTGCTTGCAGTGGGAGCCGTGGAGAGCCACGTTGCTTTTCAACCCTTAATTATTAATTATTAACTGGGAAGGCCGTACCTGAGTCTGTGGATTCCGAGGATGCAGATCTTTGCAGGCCGTTCTTGTTCCCCGGGTCCTGCTCCGTGTTCTCACGCTGCCTGCAAAGGGAAGTTTTGGGATTTGGTTTAAAAGCTCTTTGAGGCAACAAATACAGCCTGGAACCTTTATCATCAGCCAGGTGAGGGGATTCCCTCTTGGAGAACCTGCAGAGCACTGTCCTGAGCTCTGGGTGCTGCTGAGAACAGGGACAATGTCACTGCTGGATCAGACCCAACACCCACAGGGCCTGAAGATTCACGGTTTGGGTTTGGAAACATTACAAATTTGGCTTCTGAAACAGGGGAAGTGTCATTTTAACACAGCAGTTATCCTGCTTGCCTCCCTGGTCTCCTCACACCGACCATTTCTCCATTCACACCAACTCTGGGGGGTTCAGTGTTCTTTTAGAGCATGCCCTGGGCCTGTGCCCTCACAAATGAAGGTTTTGATACCTCAAAATTACAGACTTGGCCATGAAACTTCTGGTTTTTGGTGCCTGAAATCACATCAGCACCTCCCAAACCACACTCCAGGGAGTTCTCTCAGAGAGCCCAGCTGGAAGTGCAACCCTCCCTCTGGCAGCCACTCCTTTGATTCACATTTTGCCAAGGAAAAAATGCCAAACTCCTAATTCAAAACCATTTCTATAAGGAGTTGCCTCCCACATTTTGTTGCATCCCCTAAAGCCCAGCACTGGGAGATAACAAAAATCATATGGAGGCTCACTTAAATAAAAGAAAAGCTACTTGATTAATTTACGTGGAGGGGACTGCCAAGGGCTTACAGGAATCCCAGGAATCTGAAGGAGGGAAGGATCCTAAAGCAGGCGATTGCAGAAAATGAGAACGATGGAAAAATCAACAAACACAAAACCAGGAGGGTTCATCGAGAGCAGAGCGGGCCAGGGCAAAGCAGGAGCCACTCAGGAGGGAACAACGGGGTTAAAAAAGACCAGGAAGAGCAAAACTGGACAGAGCAACGGCATGGCTGGAGTTCTGGGAATAGGAGAGGGAGGGGGATGCCCAGGGCAGAGCCAGGGGTGGGACACAGGAGGGGGAAGGTGGCCCAGGGCGCTGGATCCATGCGGGATGGGGGAAGGGGGAGGCATCGGGAATGGGGCAGGGGGGGTGTTTAGGGAATCATGGAAGTTTTCCGGGTGTGAGGGGGATAAAAGTCCTCGAGGCCTCGCGGGTGGGGAGCGGGGACAAACAGCTCCTCCAGGCCTCTTTTTGGGGTGGGAAAAGAGGGGCTGGAGGGCTCGGGGGTGGGGAGGAAAGAGAAGGAGAAATCCACGAGGCCTCGCTTTTTTTTTTCTTTTTTTTGGGGGGGGAGGGTGGATGAGCTCTCCGAGGCCTTGGTCTTGGAAGGAGAGGGAAGGAGACGAATTCCAATCCCTCGAGGCCTCGCAGTTGGGATTTGGGAGGGTAAAGGACATCCCTGAAGGGGTTTTGGG